CCGTGATTTTTGCGATCCAATCGCTTATTTAGGATTTATAAAACAACATAATCGAGGAAAGAATATTCTTTTGGAAAAATTCCTCTTCTGGCTCTACAATTATATACATGTTTATATACACAGAATATTCAAGGTTGGTAGTTAATAACAATATTAGTGTTTTTTAAATTATATCGATTTGTAAAGCAAGATCAATGCAATTACAGTTCACTAAGAATACTTAAATTATAATAGTAATAAAGATATAACAGCGAGTAGGATATCAACTAAAATTAGGAAATTTTCACGAAAATTGAGAATCATTCGAACCTAGATGGCCAAGGTAGGGACAGCGTCTGAACTAACTTCTTTTGGACGCACAAATTAGGCTTTTTAATGTGGATCCCAACAGCCTCAGCAATATTTAGTAATCGAACTCTTAAGGCGAATTTGAGATTTGTTGGTATCCGATAAATAACTCTGAAAGCTTGGTTAACATCAATCCTATGTTCTGTATCCACCAGGTGAGCCAAAATAGCGCTACGGATAGATTTTGTTTGGCCTTTGCTTAACCACGCAGGGTGATGTTCGGAAATTCGACGAGAAACACGCCTAATTGTGCGGCCTATGTAACTGGCTCCACAGCAGCAATTAAATTGGTAGATACACATGGATGAGGCGAAATTAGGCAGTTTGTCTTTTACTCCCGAACGCAGAAGGGAAGTAGTCTTAAAGATACAACGTAATTCAGCAGCAGGGAATGGTCGTTTTACCGCATTTCCAATGCGCTGTGTTAGTATCTCGCTAGTGTTGTCCCCAAGGAACTGCATCTGAAAGAATAAGGCCTTTTCTGGAACTGTTGGTGACTTCGGCTGCTTTGGTTTCAAATTCATATTCTTATCAATAAACTTTTCAGGATAACCATTCTCACTTAGCAACCGTTTGATATTATTCAGTTCTTCATCAAGACATTCGTCCGAGCAAATAGCTCTTGCTCTGTGAACCAGGCACTTTATCAAATTGCGTTTGTATTTCAAGGGCACAAAACTGAGAAAATGTGTGTACTGGCCCGTTGATGTAGGTTTTCTATAAACACTTCTTCTTATTGAGCCATCCTCTTTTCTGGTCATAAAAACGTCTAAAAATGGAATATTAGATTCCTTTTCTGTTTCGATGGTAAAATTTATTGCAGTATGAACCTCGTTAAATTTATCCAGGATGCCCTTTGCTTCCTTCTCGTTTTTCATAATTAAAAAAGTATCATCCATGTACCGACAATAAAATTCGAGTTCACTAATAACATCCTTCAGAGGCCCATTTTCTAGTTTCGCAAGGAAAATGTCGGCTAGAATGGGTCCCAGTGGTGACCCCATTGCCACACCGTCAATTTGTCTATATAATTCCTTATTAAATAAAAAGTGGACATTCATTGTACATTTCAAGAGAAGCTCTTTCACAAATGATATAGGAATGCCGACATTGATGTTTCGTCGTTTAAGTTCTTCACATACAAAGTCTACTGTTTCCATAAGTGGTACATTGGTGAATAAGGAAGATACGTCAAATGATATCATGAATTTATTGTCAACACTTAAATCTTTTATCCTTTCCACAAATCCGAAAGTATCCTTAAGAGTTCGATTACTAAATATTGCTGAGGCTGTTGGGATCCACATTAAAAAGCCTAATTTGTGCGTCCAAAAGAAGTTAGTTCAGACGCTGTCCCTACCATGGCCATCTAGGTTTGAATGATTCTCAATTTTCGTGAAAATTTCCTAATTTCAGTTGATATCCTACTCGCTGTTATATCTTTATTACTATTATAATTTAAGTATTCTTAGTGAACTGTAATTGCATTGATCTTGCTTTACAAATCGATATAATTTAAAAAACACTAATATTGTTATTAACTACCAACCTTGAATATTCTGTGTATATAAACATGTATATAATTGTAGAGCCAGAAGAGGAATTTTTCCAAAAGAATATTCTTTCCTCGATTATGTTGTGTTTTATAGATAACTGAATGAATATTTTTGCTATATCTTTAGGATTTCTCTGAGGCAATACACCCTAGCAGGGCTCACTAGTGTCGTGCGTCCTTCTTTCCTTACACGCAAGACCTCAACTTGTGATATGGAGCTAAGAGCGTTAAGTGTTAGACCTGGTGTGCCAAAGTCGTGGTGTTTGAAGTAACTTGTCGAGAGTATCTTCAGTTTTGTACGATCCTTTGGTTTTATGGATGACTTCCTATGTCGGTAAACTTTTGGTGTTTGGAGTGGAATGGCAGCATATGAGCATGTGTCTGAGTTCTGGTAGAAGATACTCAGGGCTCTCGAGAGGTCATCATTAATGAAGTAATCACCCCATTCAGAGGATCTCAGCATTGAGTTTGCAAAAGCCTAGTCTGCCTTACTACACTTCTTATATATTATAATATATATTTCATATAAACTGGTGTTGACAAGAAATACATGCCATTTTTGCAGGGACTACCAGTCATGCTATAAATTACAATTGTGAATTAGCATAGATTAGCACTTTTTCAAAAGTTTGAATTGTTCAGTTATGATAAAAGCGATCAGAACAGGTTCTTATAAATATTAAATTGTAAACCCCTCACTAGGGTGGAGATACAAGCTGTATTACTACTCAGTGTGGGTGGCAGTGCGTGCAGAATTGTTTTGTGCTCTCTACCTGGAAAATTAGGGGCCACTAAGATTGAAACGACTGTAAAATTATGGCACAATATTACGTCTAGTACGCGGTCATCGCTTACAGTGATGGTGACTGCTAGTTTTAAGCAGAAAATGTCCGGTGTACCGAGGTGCTTATCATCTTTAGCTGGACCTGTTAATAAGTCCTTGTTGATTTTGGGTAGATTGAAGTCTCCACATATGTTCTTATGCTCGCATGAGAGAGTAGACACTTGCTCCAGTACATTCATGAGTTGAGTCTCGTAGTCACTAAAGGTGTCAGGTAGTGTTTTGGAAGTGTACGTTGACCCACAGGGTGTCGTGCATGTCGTTGAGTTCCCTATTACCTAGGTTTAATTCGGTAAGTGTGTTCAGGAAGTACGACACAGAGTGGTTGGGAGCTGAGATTTGAGTGCTGTCACCTGTACCATTTTGCGTGACGATGTTCCTGCCTTTAGCTATTAGTGTGGGCTGTAGTATGACTCAGCCTATCCTGCAAATGCGTTCTGATATTTTTATTCATGTACCGTGTGGTCTTCTGAATATAGATGAAGTTTGAAGGATCAATTCTTGGTTGTTCTCTCAAACGCAACTTCCTTACATTTTCGCGGAAGCATCAATACACCAATCATCGTCTCATCGACCGCTGTTCAGAAAGCACGTACAAAACCGTCAGGAGTAATATCGTGATTCATTGCTGTAATATTTGTTCTTAGACCTTAGTTATTATGCTGGTCATATGTTGGTGTTAGAATAAAGAATTCTCGAGTCGCCAATCGGTGTTTTGATTTTTGCGTCCGTTAGTACTAAGCGTTTCTGAAAGGCTTCGAGGGACAGTGAGAGGCCCGGCGTAGCAAGAGCTGGGCATTAACGGTTTACGAGACGTGATTGGCAAGTTCTGACGGTTGGTGACTGCTTCTAACGGTTGGTGACAGTTTCTTACAGTTTGAATTATCTCCGTCCGTCTTTTCTGTTGCCGGCCAAGTCTTCTTCTTCAAGCAATATCTGGAACGTTTTTGGAATTGGGTCAAGTTCTACAATACCTGGGTCGAAGAAGGGACAGAGCGTCTTGGATGCAAACAGGAAAGTAAGTCATTGTGACTTGTCTGTTAATTGTAACGATGTGTCTGATGTTAAGCTTGACATGGCTGATAATACTGTTTCGACGTCCAGGGATAATAGGAATATCAAACTCCCTAAATTTCAACCACGGTATTTCGACGGAAACCCGGCTGATTATTTACAATTTTTAGAGGAGTTTGAAATCATGTTGAATAGTTTTTTATTAAATGATGAAATGAAGTTAATGTATTTGATAAAGCATTGCACTGGAGTTGCTTCAAGAGCTATACAATGCTGTGAGTTGATGTCCGCTGAAGAAGGATATCCTGAGGGTATGAGTACACTACGGCAAGGATTCGGAAGACCTTCGATGATCGTAGGGGAATTATTTGAGGCTGTTAAAGGTGATGGTGGTCAATTAGGAGATGACTCCAAGGCACTCTCTGAGTTTTTGGATGATCTGTTGACTTGATTTCGATGAATTGCATGAGTGACCTCAACTCGAGTTCAGTCCTAGGGGTAATAGCGAGACGCCCACCTACTCGACTGCAAAGGAAGTGGGTGAAGATAAGCTCCCGTATAGAGAATGAAGGTGTCGAGCCAAAGTTCGATGATATTCTGAAACTGGTAAACCATGGTGTCAATTAATCTATGAGCAAGTTTGCCAGTCTATTGCATCTCACCCCTAGAATAGAGCAGTCTGAGGGAAAAACGCAATCATTGATGATGAAAGGGTTTCAGAGAGGTGGATATCGAGAAGGCTCTATGGTGTCTAGTAATGCATATAGACTTAGAGAGTGTAATAGCTTTCGTGGTACATCCTCAAGAGATAGGTTACAAGCTACCAGACAAACACGGTTGTGTTTTACAAGTTTGCAAGAAGTTCACACAATGATGAACTGTGAATCAGTGAGCAAGTTCAGTGATAAGCTAAATGTGAAATCAAGGTCTGACTCCGAATTGTGTGACGATAGCGGTGCGATGAAGAAGTCTGTAGTTGCAACTGGTAAGCCATTGTTGAATAGAGTGTCACAGAATAGAGTTATTGCTTCAGAGTGCAGTTCTGACCCCACAAGTTTACAAGGTATTACTAGTCAGAGTGAAGGTATGAAATCTTTAGGGATTTGTGAGGAAGAACCCAAATCATCTACTGCTGTTATTAAAGAGTTTGAAAATGATGAAGTTGACGGTAAAGTGAATATTCGTGACAATGATCATGATAGTGCACATTTGTCTTTGGTTGATCGTGATGAGATTAAGGGAATGTCTACTACTGCCAAGTTGAATAAAGGTTCTGTACAACCTGAACGTGATGTAGAATTAAATGCAGATGCAGCTGCAGAAGGTATGGATACTTGTGAAACCATCAGTGTAATTGATCGGCGTTTAGCCCACCTATCATCAGATGCTAGTGCTAAACCGGAGCTAATAGTAAGAGACAGGAGTGGTGGTAGTCTTGTAGTTAGACAAATCTCTGAAAGCCAAACAACAACAGCTTCTGATCCACCGCTAACTTCATCAACTGGTATCAATCAGTTGTCGTTGGTGTTGTCATCCACAATGAAATAGACGCCCGTCAACTCAAGTCTCTTGTACTATGACTATGCTAGTATCAGTCCGTTTGAAGAGACGAAAGATATTGGTCAGTTTAGTGAGGATAAGCCAACTGTGTACGAGAGGGTAATTGTTGAATTGACTTGCATGAATAGAGGTTTTTCAAGTTCAAAGTTACTACTTGAATGCTATTATCTTTGGTGTAGATTGCTCTGTGCCTACGCTTGGTTGGTCAGATACGTCATATGTTTGTACGTATAGATGACTATCTATATTCTGCGACACAATGACATGGGAGTGTTACCGTTCAGAGTTGAGGATATAGATGATAGAAGGAGGTCATCAAATGAACTCTGCGACGATTTTCCGACCTAGGGCGTCAACCTGAGAAGGATTGTAGGCGTACTGGTGTAAGTTCTGCAGTTCTTCAAAGGAATTACATCGAGACACGATCGGCGAGTTTATTTGTATTGTTTGTATGTATGTGTGGTGTTTCATATCAATTGGTAATCTTGGATTCATTGTGTTTACATGTTGTTTTCGTATCTTGTTGCTATTGCACAATTTTGTTAAATTTTTCGTCGTGATTACTTCGGAAGCTGTTTCGAGTTTTCTACATCCGTGAATGAATTGATTGATGTTAAAGACAGCAGATAGATCGTGTACGCCAGGGAGGCTGTTGCTAGGAATTACATGCACACAGAGATAAGGATTAGCTGTGGAATCAATGATTGAGAATGAGTGTTCCTATTTAGGCTCTGGTCCCACACGCCGGGGAGCAAGCGTGTAGATGGCTGAGGCTTCAATACGTCACCGTTACTAGAACTGAGGCAGAATGAGTGACAAGCGGTTGCAGTGGTAATTGGCAGTGAGTAGATAAGATGTGCGAAGAGTATCATGAGGTGCTGGTATGATAACGTTGCATTCTGCAAGAGTCATTCTAGCAAGTGGCGATTTTGTTGCAAGACGTCAAGAGTATGCCTTTAACTGGAAGGTGTATGCCGTCGTCGATGAGTGAGATTGTGCTGTGGGTATGCCTGTGGTGTGTTGGCTTTTCTGTTTGTTTCCCATTTCAGCTCTGTCCGAGTGACCCAGGTTCTCGCAATGGCATCCAAGTCAACGTGCATTGGTCGTGATGGAAAAAGGGATGGATCCTTTTTTCGCCGGGGAGTGTCAGTGAAGTTGAAGGTTGAACGATCAATTCTTGGTTGTTCTCTCAAACGCAACTTCCTTATATTTTCGCGGAAGCATCAATACACCAATCATCGTCTCATCGACCGCTGTTCAGAAAGCACGTACAAAACCGTCAGGAGTAATATCGTGATTCATTGCTGTAATATTTGTTCTTAGACCTTAGTTATTATGCTGGTCATATGTTGGTGTTAGAATAAAGAATTCTCGAGTCGCCAATCGGTGTTTTGATTTTTGCGTCCGTTAGTACTAAGCGTTTCTGAAAGGCTTCGAGGGACAGTGAGAGGCCCGGCGTAGCAAGAGCTGGGCATTAACGGTTTTTGAGACCTGATTGACAGGCCCTATATCTGCTTTTATATTTCTTGTTGGTATTATTTGTTGTCTCACTTCCCTTGTAGCGTGGATTCTTCTCAGGAGTGTGCAAATGTGGAGGATTTTTCGTTACGAGTGGTGCATTCTAGTGTGTTTCGTTACTGAATTCCATTTGAAATCTCACGTTACTGCTGAGACAGGATGTTGTCAACTTACTAGAGGCGTGGACTTCTGTCTTAGGGCTGTCCAGAGAAGTAACTGGATCCGCGGCAGAGAGGATAGGGGCTACATCAGCAGAGGGAATATAATCCCTTAGCCTGTCGTGTGGCGCCGTGTTCTGTATAGCTGATTTTGCGAGGTCGGAAAGGGAGGGCTATGAGCCCTACAATTTTGACTGTGGGTTTCTCTGTTTTGGTGTCTTTCAGTGTCTAACCTGCTCGCCTTTGAGTTTAGTTTGATGTTTGTGAGCAATCCTTCATTCACTGTTTTACCGCCTACGACGTTTGTTTGTTTGTAGCTTTTATCCTGTCATAGGATACTTTTTGAATTGATGAATTTCTGAGCCTGTCAGTGTTTCAAGCCGAGGGAACATAGGGATGCAGTGGTAGTTGTGACTCTCAGTCTGTGAGACTTTGTTTCAGAATAAGGCATTTCCGTCGACCTAATTAAGACGCTTTGAATTTGTTTTGCCCCCTGAATACGTGGTATATTTTAGAATAGCAGACTTATCTTTGTATCCAGTATTTTCACAACCTATGTTATGATGATTTTAATCAGGATGTCCACCTTGGTGACCGATTCTGTGTCAAGTTCGCCAGTGTTTATGTTTCTGCTCAGGATGCTCAGAGTTGTAAGTTCACAGACCTGCGGTTTTACGTCACTAATCTGTGTTGATAGTTCATATAAACTGGCTATATTTTCTGAGCATCCTGCGTTCATAGCCTTTTTACACCCTATATCCCGCATCTCAGTCTTCAGCTGTTCTACAGATAGCTTTGGTCGTTCTGTTTCTTAAGTAAATGTTGAAGCTGGACTTGGTATCTGAAGTTTTGTGACACATGCACAGGGAGTATTAAAAAGGTCTTTGTCGGGACTAGGTACTGAGTTTGTAGAAGCGGTGCTTCTACTAGTTTTCAGCATGTTTTTGTTGTCGGTTCCAGCCACGTTAGATAGTAGCGACGCGGCAGCTTGACGCTTGCTGCGTATAGGCGAGCTGTGTGGCCCGCTGGCACATTTTGTGGGATTGGTGTTGCTTGTTGTAGAAAGCAGATATGTGCTATCAATTATCACGTTGGCAGGTAAATGAATTTTTGGTTTTCTATATGATTAACCATAGCTGATTAGTGAAAGAGTTAATGATTGCAAGTATATAACCAGGGAAGCAGTTGTGCGAGTTTTGAAAAAATAGGCATATCTACAAGGAGTGACGCTTAAATGCAACTCTACCGTCGGACGTTCCGGTTTCAGTCTTCAGTCTAGTTTTGCCATTCATACGAAGCGCGCTAATGGTGTAAAGGCAGAACTCTAAATTAGGTTGAACTCAGGATTTGTACAGGACACTCTTGTTTTACGAGAAAAAATCCCGCGTGGTGAATCTTCGACGCATGCGTGTTTTACATATGTTGTAAACGGTTTGTTCGTGGAACGCAAAATAACCAGAGTGTCGAACCTCGATGTCTACGACTGAGTTGAATTCAGAATATCTGGTCATCCACATGGAAAGTCGAGATCATTGTAAACGCATTTGCCATTATTGACCTTCAGACAGGATTCAACGCCCTATAATGTGAGATTTCATATTTCAAAGCGTCAGTTCCGGATAACATTAAATGAGCGGCGAATGGCTTATTCATTTGAAACGGCCTCTCTTTTTGTGGGAGGCGATAAGGGCAACTGTTGCCTGTCCGTAAGTTATGTGCCAGAAGACTGAACAAAAACGATCAGAATTATTGTTGTGAATTTGACTGATGTGTATTCATACACTGCACCCAGTAATCATGCAGTCGTGGTTCATTTACGGTGTGGAACCTGGATATCCTCGAATTGCCAGTCTTTGGAGTCCATGACCACATTCAGTATTCCGAGGCAGGAATTAGTTTTCTACAACAGCGATTGGTTCAGAATCTTTTCTGCTTTGGAGAACTCTCAAAGTACGTTAACTGTCAAGTTTAATTCATGACTGTACTAGGGGTAGACGACTTTGGGCTCACCATCATATAGGAATACTTTGCTTGAAGTGGAGCAGTTACAAACACTGTCCGTGTAGACCGTAAAAAGAAGTAGTCTTAGGACTCTGCCCTGTGAAACCCTACTTCGGATCTGCCTGGGGCGAAACGGTAGAGAGTTGATTTTAGTTTTTTGAGACCGATCGCAAACAAATGACTCTAACCAGTTAAGTGGTGGACTACAAATTTCACAGAAGTACGGCTTCTCAAACCGAATATTGTGAGATATCGTGCCGAATATCCATGATAAACCGAAAAGGAGAACATTGGCTAGTTTACGTGCACAGGGGCTTCTAATGTCTCAGATGTCCATGTCAGATTTCTTATTGCATGCTTTCTCCTCAAGCTTGGCCGTCTGCTTATGATTGTTTGTGGAATGATTATGGAATCGGGTGTTAATTCATGGTTGTGGTGATGTTTGTCCTAATGGTACATTTGAGTCTGTCTGATGCTGCGTTATTGTTCTGTTCAACAATATTAGGACTAATATAATCAGCTGCCTTCGTCACGTGAAGGCCTGTTGCCGGTAGTTAACTTCTGCAACAACTTCTGCAGAAAATGCTGTATCTAGACAGATCTCGGAGACACTAGATACATTTGCATGACCACGTCTTTACACGGATTTGGCTCATGAGGTAGTCTTATGTTACAATGAGGTGTAGGTAAGTCTTTGAACGCAGTATCAGATATTTAAAAAGTCCGAAAGAAATAGCTAACTACATCTGCAACGGAGAGATTCGGAAATTTGTTTCTGTGACTGCTTTTGATACAATAATTATAGGCGCCGTTTCAACTTTCGTCTCAAGCGCGGCTGTTTCATTCCAGGTTTGTTGGTCGGACTTTTTAAGATGAAATTACATCGCCCAAGTGAGACAATAGCAGACACCATGAGGTAGCTTACTTCTTATCTTGGGGGGCTTATCAGAATTAAGGAGAGGTAAAAGTTACGAAATTGTTCAAAGGGAGATCATAGATAATGGGGTACTCGCGATCGTGATTTCAGAACAATTTGAGATCCTTCCATAATTTTGACTCTGTTCGTTAATCTGCCCAAAAAGTCTAATCTTCCCGAAATGCCAATTATTGTCCAATAGTTTTACATAGCCGCAATCTATTTTTCGCCACAGGCGTCGTGTGCGAATCCGATTTTGTAATACTAGTGCTTTAGTTTAGTACTCTCCATCTTCCAGCTACAGAAATGAGACACTGATTAGTGCGCTAGGAAAGAAGCATAATTACCGCTCTCCTGTTGCCATTTTCCTCATGGCGTATCACATTAAACGTCGCTTCTCGGCTCTCTGAGCTAAGGTCATGTGTAGTATCTGTTCGTTGCAGTGTAATTTCTGCAATGGTCTCTAAACTGAGACCAATTTTTGTGCGTCGGTGGCACAGTGGTTAGGAATGTCGCCGACCATGCACATGGCTCGAGGTTCGATCCCCTGCCGACGCACACCTGGTATCTATGGTCGGCCTGCAAAACTCGGGCTACCGATATCCATGCTGGAAATTCCATACTTGTACCAAAAATGCAGTGTGGAATCAAGCTGTAATCAAAAATAAAAAATAAAATAAATAGTCAGCTATACGTAATCAAGGAACCTTGACTACGTTTATGTTGATTCGTCAGTTTTTCCGCTGAAAATGGTTTTATTTAAAATCGGTAATAATTGATTGTTACTCACCCAGAAACGGATGACTAACAAAAGATCAGTCAGTGAAATACTTGTCTGATAAGCAATGTAGGGATAAAGTGGTGGAATCGTTCCACAGAAATATCGTCTCTCCATCTTTCTTCTATGGTTAAGTGGTACCTTAAACGGCTAAGTGCTTTTCGTACGAATGCGTTTTGCAGCACATTTTTGAAAATTACAGTTCTGTGAAGAGTTCTCCGTTCTAATTCGCTTCGCCGAGCGAGAGCCTCTCGACGTATGATGAGTTTCCCTCCTGTATTGTCAGCTTCCAGTTTGGCATTCATGTGCGCATTACTGTCTTCAGTTGTCTATAGAAATCTTCCTTCTCTTGTTCCGAGTTGCTGGCGGATGCGTAGCATTGAATGATCGTAACCTTTCTTCCTTCTGATTTGAATCTTGCTGTCGCTATCCTGCAGGAGGGAATTGGTTCCCACTGTATTAGAGATTTGGCTGCTGTTGGCGACGTCATGAAGCCAATGCCTCAGGTGTTGTCGTCTGGGTGACCAGAGTGGATTACTCACTTTAGTCGACAACTGAGCTAGTCCACATCCATTCCATCTGCTCTCACAGGTTTATAACACTTCTATGGCATATTTTTTCATTTCTTTGGCTACCTGGTCAGCCTGCCCAGCTTCGTGCATTCTACGAACATTCCACATCCCCATTCCTATTCTTGCTTTCATCGACAAGGAGCACGACTGATTGCCTTCCCAAATGCGGGGTTTCACCAGGCCGCTGTGCCATTTCGCCTCTCCGATTCTAGCAAAAAATATATTCATATATGTATATACATATACATTTAATATTTTTCATATTTTTTTAGGGTGTTGAAGTTTGTTTAACAGTTTGATTGGTAGGTTCCTTGGCCACACGCCCAACCCTTCCTATTTTCGTGGGCCTGGAATCAGCTAAAAAACTAGCGAGCTATTAAAACTAGGCGAGGTTTAGATTTAGTGTAACTTATGTAATTTTTAGGCTGTTGGTGACCGAAGAAAAGCCGTAAAATATAAATCACCCACTTTCATCTTGCGAAGATGTTCGTTCTTGCATTGTGTAAAGAAGTAATTTTTATAAGATGGGACGTAATGTCTCATTAGGTGGGGTTGTCACCAATCCAGGAGGTCATCATCTTATAGTCTGTGCTAAATGAGATTGTAGATCGCGTTCTTGAGATACTACAAATCAATGGTTGGTAACTCTTAGTACATTGACTGAAGATTGTTCAATAGTGGTACAGATTGATTTCGTCGTCTTTGGAATTTTAAACGTCTTCACTATGCTGTACTGGATTTATTCTCCCCTTGACACTTTCACTGAGAAGTGTTCAATAAATTCCTATCCCCTTTCTTCATGCTTTTACAAAGTGAAATAACTTGAACTGTTGTTAGTCCTACTTTGATCTGTCGTACTGGCTGGCACACTATATGTAGTTTATTGTTTAATGCAAAGATGTGCACATATGTTTTACGTGAGTATTTCACAAATAAACAACATGCTACAACAAGGAAATTCATAAACCAGTTTTAGTGCTACAGTATAATTACTATCTGGTGTTTACTTTTTGCAGACTAACTTATCATCAATAATGTCTACGGATTTTGTGGCGTGTTCTAATAATGTCGATTCAAACGATTCTGTTCCCGAAACTGACACAGAAATTGCAGAAGCAGATTTAGAAGAAAAACAACGACTAATTAGTCAAGTTAGTCAAGTAGTTTTTATTTTGAATTTTAGAAATTTTTCCAAATTAATTCAATAAGAGATGTTTGTGTACAAGGTTACGAGTTTTTCACTCAGTTTCCACACAGGGGCTGTCTAATAGAAGACCAAAGGTATTTGTCGTATAGAAAAGCACTAGTATCATCTTGCATAACTATGAAGACTTGCTGAATGTGCACCATATGTTTGTGTATCATGAGCGTACTTATCAGGAGCGTCCATTACTTTATATTGCTTTCAGAAAGAGGAGAATGAAGGGGATTTTAGTTTGCTAACCTTTGAGTTTAAGCGTCTCGGGTTGCTGACCTGGACTATTCCTTTAGCCTCACTAAGGTAGCCGTGGTGTACCTACAGATGCTAACCCACTAGCTATCCTTCAATAAACGGTATCGCCGAATACGAACTTCTTAAAGAGCTATGATAAAGCACATAGGATTGCCATCCATCTTCACCTTGGGGAGACCAGATTTCACAAACGTTAAGTAAAATTGCACACATAGAAGCGTCGTAAACTGAACCTTTAACATTCAGGCGAACGTCATAACAGTGCTGGGAATGGTGTAGTTCGGCGCAGACTTCATGGTTTCCACTCATTCTCTACTCCACAAGTGGTTACATGACCATACATGAGACGCTAATTAGCTACTTTCAAAATGCTGACCTCCATTGTGGGATGTAACACATCTACTGTAACACTACGTGTCACCTTCAAACTTATCACTGGAAGTATTTGCATACGTGTAATAAAACAAAAGGCAGGTTGGACCTCATTATTGGTGTATGCTGCCGAACCTTACTGTTAGATAACATGAAGGTTACCTAGATTAGACATTTGGACATTGGTGTCTTCATGGTATATGTGGTGTGCCATCTAAGTGCGAAACACCTTCAAGATTGGCAGAAACTTAAACCTGTACTCACCCTCCTAGGTGAACTGCTAGTAAAGTTCATATATATGGCTCTTGGTGCCCATTAAATAATACTGCACCAATGTACTTTTATCAAGTAAAATTATTCTATGGTGGAATTATATTCTACTACGCTGCCCTGACTCTTTTCTCACATCATTTGGATGAAAATATTTTTTATGAATTTAGCTTTTCTCCTCTGGGGTCGGCTTTAAGAGGTACTCCCTAAATTTTTTTCATTGATCTCATACGCTTTAATCAGAACGCTATGTTACTATTATTGTCATAAAACTCACGTACCAAGAACAGAGTTTTTTTCATTTATCAGACAATAAACTATCAACTGATTGTTAATACATGGAACGTATATTTTACACTGGTTGGTGGTCATTAATAAAATGTTTTTGGTTTTAGTTCCACGTAATCTTTTTCTTGTTTTCTCTTAATTATTATTAACAAGTAAACAGCTTTAAGAAATAAGTTGGTCATCAGATTGGTAAACCTACTATCGATAGCTGAATTCTTATTATTGATTAAAGACGACAATATAGTGGTGACAATAGGGTGGCGTCAGATACTTACCAAAGGTCATTATTTTTTTAATTACTGTTTTGCATAGGATAACTTAATTATTAATGTGAACAAAATTTTCAGTGCTCGCTTTTCTTGCAGATTGTAGAGTAATTAAATAAATCTACGGAGATATGACTCACATTTAGATTATTGAGTTAGTAGTGAGGATTTTGGATTCATTACAATTGTGTTAGCTTTTCATCAGTTAGAGAGACCAGTGAATATCACGGAGTACTGGGCAACTGTTCCATCCTATGCTGGGACTGTTCGATGGTGCACCTCTACGATCCCATTAGGGATCGAACCCAGACCCTTCAGGTTGCGAGACCAAGCTCACTGACCTTTCAGCCACTTGAGCTGGTTCATCCATGAAAACATTTGACTTTCAGCCAGTAAGCCTTGGGTTCGAATCTCGGTCCACCTACTTTAGCTTGAGCAACTGGCTGGGTTACACAACTGGGTAGTTACACAATAATTTTCTTATAGTCAGGTTCATTAAAAAGTCTATTCCAAATAAATGAGTTGTGATTTACTAACTGAAGATAAATCGACCTCCAAAATATTTTTTTTTCATCCTATTTTTTGTTTACTTTTATTATTATTATTTCAAAAAATAAAAATAAACAGATTTTAGAACTTCAGCATACTCTTGAGGATTTGTCAACACGTGTAGATGCTGTGAAAGAGGAGAATTTAAAACTACGCTCAGAAAATCAAATATTAGGCCAATATATTGAAAATATGATGGCCAATTCATCAGTTTTTCAGTCGACTTCACCACTGTCCGATGGGAATAGATCACGTACAACAAATAAAAAGTTAAGAGATGAATGACTAAGTGATATGTGGAAAAATGTCGAAAGCCAGATTGAATATATATCAATTACTTCTTCTTTTTCAGTCAGTATTTATTTAATAATTTAATAATATTTCTTTCATATATTTTGCTTATCTGCTATATCTGTTAGCAATCCAACAGCCAGTCATTCAGTCAGTAGATAAGGCATTAAAGCCTGCAATAATAATAATAATAATAATAATAATAATAATATCATGACGTTATTTTGACTATGCTGTTGCTTGATTTCAACTGTCATTATTCTTATTCTTTTTGGAAGACAGTAGTCTTGCTTTGCTTCTTTCTTCCTCCTTTTTTTCGCAAAATTATGTATAAACTTGATCTGTAGTGATATTTTGAAGGGTTGTTATGCTGTGTTACATCTATTCACATTAACGCTAACTTACCTAATTACTCTTTACATTGTGATCGTGTTATTTTTCTCATTTCGGGATGAATGCTAATTTTTTTTTTTGTTTATTTTGTTCTCTGATGGAATAAGAGTACATGTACTTGCATTTAAGTGTTGATGAGTAATAATGTGCAGCATTAGTCTTATATGTATACGCATATTATATATATATATATATATATATATATACTGTGTAAACCAGTATATCTACTAACTCACAGGTTACCAGTCTCTTATATTTCATTTTTTTTAAAAACTAAACAAAATATATTTATACTGATCTCTCTCTCTCTCTGACATCGTGCTTGCTTTTGTGGTTGATCATGGAGTTTGGGATTTGAATTGTAAATGGTTGGATATGTTGTCCAGTTGTTCACTTAATTCGATGGGGTTGGGAGGATGTTGTGTCAGCCCTAATGGACTTATTGTTGAAGAAATTTCGGTTTTCATGTGGTATTTGCTGGCCAGCGTCACATTTAGTGTAGATAGAAGGAGAGGTGAGGGTACCCGTCTATCGTATGATACAGGCTTTAGACCAGGAAGAGGGTGTATTGATCATATCTTGACCCTCCGACAGATTTTAGAACATGGGAATTCCTACTGGTATCCAACAGTCATTATATTTCTTGACCTAAAGGCGGGATTCGATTCTGTCGACCGAAAGGGGTTCTCTAGAGATGCTTGGCTGTAAAGGGAATGACGAGAAAATACATTTCACTGATTAAGGCACTCTACTCGTACTCATACAGCCAGGTGAAGGCTTACGGCGAGTTGTCATCTGAACTGATGACGACTAGTGGTGTCCGTCAGGGATGCCAGTCCATTATCCCCTTTTCTATTCAGCTACATCATAGATGTACTAATGGACTTAGCCCTAAGTGACTTCAGCGACTCAGGTATTGACTTGCTACCAGGGAATAATCTCGTTGACTTAGAATATGCAGACGATATGGTCCTACTAGGCGAGGACGCTGAAAAAATGCAGAGTCTTCTAAACACCTTGAGCTGCAATCTACGAATGTTTGGCATGCGATTCGCTCCCACCAAATGCAAGATGATGTTACAGGACTGGACTACATCGACGCCTAGTTTAAAAATAGGAAGTGAAGTGGTAGAGCACGTTGACCGCTTCACTTATTTGGGAAGTACCATCAGTCCCAACGGGCTGATCTCTGACGAAATTTCAGCACGAATACAAGGGGCTCGTTTCGCATTTGTTAGTTTACGCCGACTCTGGCGTAGACGAGATGTTCGACTATCGACCAAAGGGCGGGTGTACTGCTCATCAGTCCGCTCCGTCCCCCTTTATGGCTGTGAGTGAGACCTGGCCACTGAGAGTGGAAGACATGAAAAGACTAGCTGTCTTTGATCATAGGTGCCTGCGTTCTATCTCCGTGCGAAGTGGTATAATAAGGTGAGCAATATTCAGGTTAGGCGTCGAGTGCTAGGTAGGTGGGAGGGGAAATCAATTGACGAAGTTGTGAAGTTACAAAGACTGAGGTGGTTAGGACATGTGTTGCGTATGCCTAGTCTTTGCCTTTCTCGACCGACGAGCAATGTTAGCGGATATAGGGTCAGGCCGGAAAAAAGCTAGCGGCGGTCAAACTATAAAATGGCACCAGTCAATGAAATCCACAACAGTTAGTCTAAGTCACGTAGGAAGGTGTAGACTTCCTGGTTAGGGTCATCGGGACGGTAAAAACCAATGGTTGGAAACAATTGGTGGCATGGCTCAAAATCGTTCTCAATGGCGCAGATGCATGCACTCCTTGTGACTAATGATTTCCAATGAAACTGTTTTGTTCTTCGTTATTACTCCTTTGTCTCACATCTCTGCTTTCTATCTCTAATATGCATTTCTTCTACTTTCTTCTCTTGCTTTGTGTGGTACATGGAGTGTGGCGACTTGAACTGCTGCACATATGTGCAAAGTTCTATGTCGAAAACAGACAGACAGTATGATGCATGACCGTGAAGTTTGAAACTATGAATAAAAGTAGCCGTTTTTTGATCGTTGGTGTTGGCGTTCTGTCTCTATTATTAAGTGATATGATTTCTTAAATAATATTTTGGTTAGGCGTACTGTATTAGCAAAGGAGGGGAAATCAATTGAAGAGGTTTTAAAGAGGTGCATCGATCGAGGTGTTACGCATGCTGATTCATCGTCTCTCTTGTCGTGGCATGTTAGCTTAAATGTATGATTAAGTTGGAAAAGTATCAGAGGTAGTCAAATTAAATACACGGCATCAATCAATGAAGTATCTGACTGTTGGCTTGAATCATACTTGGAGATACAGAGGATTCCTTAGGATGATAAGAACCACTGGTTGGAAACTGTCAGTCGTCAGATGGTTCAATAACACAAATACATTCATTCCTTATGAACTGAGATCCATCAAACTTTCACTGTTCTCCATTCAGTTATTCTTTTTCCTGTATATTCTGGTTTAGTGTTTCTACATTTGAGCGATTTTACGAATTATGAGAACTTAAACTGCTGAGGTTCCGTACGCAGTTAGTTCTACGTCGAGAATTTAATCAACGTTTTTTTGGAGCTGAATGTATACAGTCCTTCTGGATAAGATTTGAACTCAGTATCTATCACTTCAGGGAATAAAATGATGAAGGTGATGTGGGTAGAGGAGAATGGTGCTCAGGAAGGCTTCGTGTGCATTTGGAAGTGTGTGGGCGGTTGTTACTTCCCGGCTGCCTGCACTGTGGAAATTGGTTGATTCTTTGGGCATCTGAAACAGGAAGAGGGTTAGTGTTGGGTGATTGTAGAGCCCAAGGGACAAGTGCTTAATGCCAGCCGGTCACACACAGCCTGTATGAAATGGTTTCTGGGATCGGTTCCGTATTAGTAAACTTATCGCCGGTTACGGACCACCGTAGGGTAATTCGGGGTGTACAATTTTTGGGGTCGACCTTTTCTAACCCCCTCTCTCCAGAGTGGAGAGACAGCATAACTGGCTGGCATGCTGGTCTTCCGAGGGAAACACCTCACTGCTGTTACATCCCTGTTCCCCAGCAGTACGACTTCGCCCACAGACCCCCAGCATAGTTTAAGAAAGATTCTTACACTATGCCGGTAACTGCTTTTAGTCTAATCGCTATCCTAACAACCTTCCTGGCATGGTAGGACCTGCAGGAACATTGGTTCCAGCCAGTGTAGCTTATTCGGTCATCGTGGTGTGCAATCTCAACCACCACGTCAAGGTAGCACCTATTGGTCGGGATCTATCACTTCGAATGCAAAGGGGGTATTTATTGTACCCTATTATATTATTAAGTCTCGATGATTAAGCATGCTCCTCAGAAGTTACTGCCACTCATTAATGTGACGGTACATCCAACATGCTGGTGTGAAGAAACTGGGATTATCGGAGAGTATGGGATAAATAATACCGTTAATATTTCGAATTTTGTAGTCATTTATCACTTATGTTGTTGTATGTTCGAAGAAATGATCTACTAACCATATACATAAAGACGTTAAAGCGTTCAATATGGCAGCTTTTAAGTAATTTTTTGTGTGTTATTAAATCAACAATAGAACTTACATTCACAGTGTTGAAAACAGAACATACCTCTAGCTTCTTGACGTACATACACACTAAACAGTGAGGGGAATACAATTTACATTTGAATCAGAAAATGAACAAGGAGAATTAGCTATGTTTGATTGTAAAATCAAACGAACAGCAGAAGGTGAACTGTACACTAACGTTTATAAAAAGCCAATGCATTCTGCTAATAGATATTTAGGCTTTAATTCATCTCATCCGCTGTCTGTAAAGACTGGCTTAGTTGAGTGTCTAACAAACCGAGCAGTAGTACTAAGTACTACAAGAAAAGACCTAATTGATGAAATAAGACAGATAGAAGAAGCGTTGATATAAAAAAAACTATCCTATTAAAATTCATTGTGAAGATCAGAAAAGGCCAAAATCAAAATAATTGTAAACTAGTAATGATAACACAAATAAGAGAGAATACAAGTCCTCTACTGTTTTACCATATAAGGAGGGGACATCTGAGGCCCTACGTAGGATTCTCAGTAAAGCAGCAATTAGGGTGGCATTTAAACCTACAAACTCACTCAGATAGGACAAGCTATGTAGGTTATAGGACCCAGTTGGCCCAATTCGACAAAATAATATAATTTACAAAATACCTTGCAATGACTGTGGGTGGAGTCAACTACATGGGTCACACTGGTAGATCGGGGGTAGTCAGATTGTTGGAACATAAGAATTTAGCTAAGGTTAGGGTGATTGGTCCCGCGAAGATAAGTAATTTAGAAAAAAGCTCAGCGATTGCATTGCATACATTAATACACAATCACACAATAGGGTGGGAGACGGTTCAGATTCTAAGAAGTAATCTAGGTATGTGAAGAGAGAGAGAGAGAGACAGATGTTGGTTACTGAATCATGGTTCATCGCGTCTACACCCAACATAACACATGCAACAGAAATGACTCAATGCAAATACCACAGATATGGAAAATATTATTACCACCAGTCAGTCAAATCAGAGGAGGATAATAAATAATCTTAATATTCTATTTCAATTCAAATACATCATAGCATTCTGACAAGTTACTTATTACGCCTATAAAAACATTCGTGTTATTTCCCATCTGATTGTATTTGATCGATAACACTCATATTAATATTTCCGAATGTACTATATCTTAAATTGATTTCTATTCAAACGTCTAATCAATTCTATTCATATATATATATATATATATATATATATATATATATATATATATATATGAAGTAAAAAGTTGTGT